ATTAAAATTTTTTAAAAACTTATTAAAATTTTAAATATGCAGGCAAATTTGCCTGCGTTACAATTTAAGGGATAATACTATTAATTAATAAATATACTATATATATAATATATTACTAATAAATACTGTATATACTATAGTATTGTTATTGTTATTAACAAATGTCCTGCTTCATATAATGTTTTTTAAATTATAAATACTAAGAAATTGAAAGAAAAAAGATTTTAATTATTTATTTATTAATAAAAAGCTTTTAATTAAGCAAAAAATAAATTTATATACAATCAAAAAAAAAAAACTCTTACCTACTTACTACTGATTTCTTGAAAATTTTCTTTTATAGTAATTTTCTTGAAAGAAGCACTTTCCTCTCTCTCTTCAATATGCCAACTATGCCATAAGCTCAAGGACATAAAAACTTTAAGGATTACTGTTATATTGGGATGTGACTTCTGGTCAAAGGCCAAGCAAGTTTAGGAGTCTTGTTTGTTCTTTGGTTGTATAAAGAAAAGCCTATGGCAGTCTTTCTTCTTAACTTTGTCTTTATGCACCTTCTCCTTTATTATTATTATAATAACCATCTTTCTCATTATCCTCAATATCACTAATTTCTTCTTAAAAGTACATTTAAATAAAGTTTTGGGTTTTTTTACTTGTTTCAATCAAACTCTTCTAAATAACTTAAATATAGTACACTTTACTATACCACTGTAATGATATTAAAAATTTTCCCAAAATCAAAAACCAAAACCAGCTCAACCTCTTCAACCAATCCAATTCTGATACTTCAATCAAACAAGAATCAAATCAGTATTAACTTGTTAAAAATTATAACAACAACAATATCATACAAAGACATATCAAAGACTTACCAAATTAAGACAAATTTCCTAAAAATCTTCTATACTACTAAAAAAAATATTCCATTAGTTATAACTTAGTTATTTAGAAATAGACATAAGCCATTTATGAATTACTTCTACTGTGGTTTCATTCATGTGATGTTTTTATTATTTTAAAAGTTTTTTATGCAATAGGCTAGTATTAACTTAAATAAATACTTAATATAATGACAGGATTATTAATTAATCAATAAAGTTTTGCATTTTATGCTTGTTTGCAGTAAAATAATAATAATAATAATAATAAATTTATATATAATAATAGTATAACAATTATAATAAAGAAAGTAAAAAATTACTATTGTATGTTTGATGTTACGTTTATCTAAGAAGTAATTTAAATTGCAATTTGAATCTCAACTATGTTCACTATTAGTTATTTTTTAAAGTACTTTTTTATACACCACTGCAAAATCAACAATACCTTGAACTAAAAATGAGTTTCTAAATTAAAGGCAAGAATATAATTTAAATATTTCTTACTATTAAAAAAATTTTTTTTTAAATATAAGATTAAAAAAAAATTATATACAAACTTGATCCAAGTGTTTTTTAAATTATGTTCTTATTAAAGTAATGAATAAATAATTGTCCTTTCAAAAGGGACATACGTAATTGATTTGCGAAATTGATTTGTGAAATTTTATATGCTAAATAATTTAGGGACCTATCCTTACCCTGGACACCCTAACCCCAAAATAGTAACTTAAACTGTGACCTGTTGGGATGATGTTGCATTCACGGACTTTGTACCCTGCATATGCACGCCCAAAAACACAAGTTTTCGTGGAACTTATACGAAGGAAATTATAATATAAATACGCCTAGTTATACACATCCTATGAGGTCTAATATTCCCCCGTTAGTCAACTAAGCGCTGGACCCATCCATCCCATCCATTACCGTATAGGAAGGTTCACCCCGGAAGAAGACCAAAGGCTTATGGATTTATATAATCACCTGGTTCCTGATATCGACCATTCCGAGTTAGATGAAGAAGCTGAATAAATGTTCATTGACGAACAAGAAAAATGTCAGACCCTCTCGACGCCTTTTTCGGAAATCGCGAGGAGTCTAAGCGAAAGGAACAAAAAATTGTATAAAGGAACTAGGAGCGTCTATCGTCGCACTGATTTGGTGGTTAGAAATTATCTCGCGCCGAGCAACCAAGAGTGTTGGGTGATTGAACGCAGGCCGAATCAATTACGTTAGTGAATTAGTCACATAAATAATAAATATTCCTATATCTAATATCTATATGCATAAAACATTTTGTTTATTTCTCTGTATTCTTATATCTATCTTTTCTACATTATATATATTCATTATATTCTTTTTCTATCATAACTACGCATTTCAGAAATTATAAAACGAAATTCTTGAGTCATTAGTCTTCTCTAAAGATTAAGTAACATACTGTATGTATTTGTATTTCTTACAATCTTCTCAAAGTTGAACTTTTGTAGCTAGTCTTTCAATCATAGAGGCGTTCGTCCCTTCACTCGTTTACTACTTGTGTCATGCGACTTACAGTATATCTTACGGTTGCCTTTTTTTTCTTTGGTCGTTATTTTTATAATTAGGAATTTGTCTTAAGTTGGTAAGTCTTTGATATCTGCTGAATTATGAGAGGAGTTACTGCTGCTTTCTTCAAGGTGTTGATTAGTTTCGTCAGCCCATGAAGTGGATGATGATTCTATGGTGTCTTCTGATTGGTTAGAGAAGTGATGCTCATCAATTTCCATACTAGTGAGGGTTGGTTGTGTATCCTGTGAGATGATGCGCTGTGGTTTATTGGTGGAGTGATCTGCATGTACCTGTGAGATGATGCTCGTGTCTGCTTGAGGGCTGGTTTGATTGTCGTTACACTCAGGGGTAGGTGCATCTGTTGTTTCATGGCCA